TGGAAGGGACGTGGCAGGCTCATATCTAAAAAACTACCTCTACATTCTCTTGGGAGAAAACTCAGGCATAGAGCAGGACATTGCCCATTTGGGAAGTAGTCTTAGAGACAGTGGTACCTGTGCCAAGGCCGTGGTGGTACAGATGAGAAAAGGATGGGCTTGAGAGAGGGGAAGAGTTGAACTATTTAAGTGTAGAAGGTCAAGGATGATACGTGGTTTCTGGCCTGGACATCCAGGCAGATGGTGAGAGAAGCAGGTTAGGCATGGAGAGATGGGTGGGGATGATGAAGTCATCATTGTCCTTTGCTTCTGTTAGTTCTTGGTCTTTCTTTTGTCTGGATTATATGCTCATTATGGTATCTAAGGGAAAGCATGACCTCACCTTTTTTTTCAATAGAAGGAGGGCTGTGGATTCCAGGTCACTAAATGGTGAACCCTCAGAGATTAACCACTCATCACAGGTGAAATCTGAAGCCAGGAATAAGTGAGGCACAGAGTGTGAATAAAGCATTCAGGTTAGCAACAGTGTCAGGCTAAAGTCACAGGTGGCAGCCCTGTTCCCTCTTTGATGAGCAATCATTAGTAGTTATGGACTAGTTTGGGACAGTCATACCAGACTAGAACTTCCATGCACAAACTGACCTGACCACCTAGAGGACTCTCTGATGCCGGAAACAGTGATGACTCAGCATTTTTGGTTTATCTCATGTGCATCCTGAAACCTATACCAATAGATTGCCAGGAGAATGAAAGTCAGTCATGATCCCTCACCTTTCCACCTCCCAGGCTGAGTGGAGGGAGCGAGCCAGTCTGGGATGCTGTTTTTCACCCCAGTTTGTCTGCTTTTCCAATTGGAAAACTCAGAGGGTTTTCCTTCCTCTAATGTGGATGGGCACTCTGGGGTCAAAGCTTTTGTTCCTTCTCAGAAAACAACCAGCAGCATCACACTGGAATTGCTCATTTAGAATGAAAAGGGATGTGTGAGTCGTGGATGCAAAGGCTTCTTGAGTCATAAACTTCCTGCTGGAAGACAAGGACAGTACAGGGAGCCTGACCAGGGACAATTGAGCCTTACAGAGACGCTGCTTCTGCTCCAAGATGCTGCTTCCACCTGCTTCCACCTAAGCACTTCTGGACTGGCTTGGCACACTGCATTCTCTTCCAATTCTCCTGTCTCCTCAGCTTGGAGGGAGAGCTGGGCCCTGTGCTGGCTTTCCAGGGTTGAGGCCAGAAGCACACTGGACCCTTTGGGGATAGCCTTCTAAATCTTGCCCTGGCTGAGGGAAAACTGCATGGCCATAGCTTGCCCAAGACTTTGAGCTGTTTGCTCAAAGACCAGGGTACTTTTGTTAAGAGCCAGAGGCCATCTGTGTCCATGAGAATGATCAATGGGACCTGGGCCAGCCTGTCAACTGTGATCTTCTCAAAGTTCTGGGACAAAACTGTCTCTCCAAGAGCCAGAAAAGCAGCTGGAGCTCACGGGGTCTTGCTCTGGAAGAGATTTGTCTGAGATTCCATTTTATGTCCATACTCTCTCGCCCTGGGCCTGAGCTGGTTCTCACCCTTGCTGTGCACCCTTTTCTCCCTGGAAAGTGAGCCAGACTGACTGCTATGTAAGCCTCTGGCTTCCCACTGCCTCTCACAAGAAGATGAGGACCAGGACCATCTCCAACTGCCCAAACCCCGAGTGGAATGAAGCCTTCAACTTTCAGATCCAGAGCCAAGTAAAGGTGAGACCCAGAGCTGACTCTGTCTGCCCTACTTGCATTTCTAGCCCTTTTTCTCCTTGTCCTTCCTTCTGTTTGTGTTCTTCCCTGGCCCATGTTTTCTTCCTTCTGCCTGCTTGTTTTTCTCCCCACTCATCTTCCCACTCATTCACTACTTCCTTCTGCCTGGTTCATGCTTATCTCTGTCCATTTATCCTTCTACCTTCCTTCTGGTTTCACTCGACCTTCCATCCAACTGTTGATGGAACTGGGCATCTCTTCCATCCAACTGTTGATGGAACTGGGCATCTCTTGCCCCCAAAACATGGTTTCTACTACTTCCCAGAGCATGTTCCAAGCAGGAGAATGCACAGAGGGGAAAAAGCCATTCTCTAGTCCCAGGAACAGTCTATGTTCCAGCCAAGGGTTTTGATTCCTTTGAATCCCTTGCAGATTAATTTGCTATTTTTGTTTCCTTGGGTGTGTGTTCCTGCTTCTTCATTTGTTGAATTCTTTTTGGAAGGGGTGGTGGTGGGGTCCTCTTCCAACATATGGTGACCTAAGTCAGAGTCACATGTCTGGTGGGAGAATATCCTGAGTTGCCACAGCCTTAGCAGAGAGCTCCAAAGAAAAATGTGGCCTCGTCGTCAAGGCCTCGGCCTATCTTGAGGCATCTTGGACTCTACAGCTCCAGCCCACTGCAACACAAATGCCATGTCTAGTTCAAGAAGTCCTTTTTGTATTTATTATTAAAGAAAAAAAACACCACATTTTCTGTCATGTCTATGTGTTTGGTGAAGGAAGAGGCTTTCCTTCTGCCACTGTGAAATCAGCGTGTGGGCCTTCTTTGTCTTCAGGATGATATACTGGTGGATGGGCTCTGGGGTGTCCCGGGTTTCTGTTAATGACAAGGTCAACGATCTCATCTGCTTGGGAACTCCAGAGCCACATTATGGTCACTAGATTTGGACCTAAGAGGCAAACTCAGCCCTAGCCCCACACCTCATAGGATCCCTGAGACAAGAGCTGTCAGGGACCAGCCCAGCTCCTTGAACTGTTGGCCTCAGAGTTCAGGAAGATGGCAGGGTGGCTACTTGACTCGCTTTGGGGAATACACAGGCAGACGAGCTCAATTGTCAGAAACCCCACCATCTTTGCTGCCTCTCTCCCATGCAATGCTGGGGGATTAGCATCATTCATTATGGCTTTGCAGTACAACACATGCTGTTTTGGGTTCCGCGGGGTACATGGCTGGACACCTTCTGCACTTCTGTCCTCTGCTTCTGTCCTGCCCTAGAAGGGAAATCCCTCCAGTCTTCACAAGGCTCTGCAGTGGGAGACTCAGAGCAGAGGGAGGGGAAGGCTCAGGAGAGGTCAAAAGGAAGGAGTGGCTGCTTCCTTCCCTTCAAAGTTCATTTCCCCTTCAGTGTCTCTCCCACCTAAGGAGGGGCCTCTGTGCTGGTACCCAATCCCTAAGAAGCAGCACTTTGCAGGCGAGGAAGGAGCTAATGCAACAATGGCAGCCAGACTTGAGCCCTCTCCCTCCCCCTTAGAATGTGCTGGAGTTGAACGTCTGTGATGAGGATGCGGTGACACCAGATGATCACCTCTTGACAGTTCTCTATGACCTCACCAAGCTCTGCTTCAGGAAGAAAACCCACGTGAAGTTCCCACTCAACCCAGAGGTAAGTGCAGGGGCTCAGAATCCCCACCTCCTGTCTCCTGTTCAGTGAGCTGTCCACTGCACACATCCATGCTGGGGGAAGGTAGGTGACACCACTGGTCCCAGTCCCAGTGCTGCCTCTCACTAACTGTGTGATTCATGGAGCTCGCTTGGTTCCTTCACATTGTGTCTGCTCACCCATCAAATGGCAGTGATGGAACCTACCCTACATGAGAAAGTACAGAAGGCACCTAGCTATAAGGCTATACCAGATGGAGGGATAGTCAGCGCTGGCCCCTTTCTTCTCCTTCCCTCTTCATCCTGTTGCTAGGACAGCTGAGGGGAAAGGAGGGCAAATCTACCAATCAGAGAAGGGTCAGGCATGGATCATACTGCAAGCCCCAGAGCATCTGCTACAGGCCTAGGGGTGTGGATGGGGAACAAGCACTCCAGAACTCACCTAGCCTCCATCCTCATGGAGAAACCAAGGTCAGGTGAGGTCAGGAGTGTGGTACAGAAGGGAGCCCCCATGCCCTGGGCCCCTGTGTGGGCTGGGAGAGCAATGGGAGGCTGGGGCTGGAGAGGGGAGGCTTCAGGGAGGTAGAAGAAGTGGTAGCAGTGGCAGCAGCAGCAGCCAGGAGTAACTCTACCCTGCAACAGCAGGCAGAGTGGGGAGGACAGGGTAGCCCTGCAGAGGCCCCAGCTCACAGAAATCACAGACTTGGCTCACAGCTGCCTTTCTTTTCCTTCCTTTCACCCACCAAGGGAATGGAAGAGTTGGAGGTGGAGTTCTTGCTGGAGGAGAGGTGAGTAGGCCCAGCCCTCAGGGTTGGCCAAGGTCCTGGCCTCCTAGGGACCTCCTGAGCCACAGCTGCCTCTTAACCTGTCTCCTGGCACTCACCCTGGGCTCCTCCCTGTGCCTGGGAATCACTGCTTGGATGCCTGGGCCCCAGCCTGATCCACCCATTTCCTCTGATATCACATGATTTTAAAGATTGATTGTCAGACTACAAAGCCTGTCTCAGCTTCCTAGTATGGGTGGCCTCTGGGCAGAATTTCTATCACCAGGTCTAGCACTGTGGCACAACAAATTCAGCTACCTGTGCTTATGATGTCGACCTGCCGTCTGGGCACTGGTTTGAATTTGGGCTGCTTGATTTCTGATCCAGCTCCCTGGTAATGTGCCTGGGAAAGCAGTAGAAGATGGTTCAAGTGTTTGGGTCCCTGCCACCCATGTGGGAGACCTGGATGGAGTTCCAGGCTCCTTGCTTTGGCCTGGTCCAGCCCCAGCCATTGCTACTATTTGCTTGCAGGTAGCAACCTTACATGCTGTTCCATAGCTCTGGCCCCTAATGATAGTCATTCATATTTCATTCTGGCAGGGAAGACTGTGGACTTACCAAGCTAAATGTAACCTTCAGGGTTTATATCCTCAAATTGTAAGGGTCTCTGAGCATTGACCAGACCTGTCTCAGGCTGGTTTGGTGCTGCCCGTGAGATGTGCTGTTGAATTAAACCCAGGATGGAGACTAGGTCGTGTTGGCTCCTGGAGCTGCTGATCTCTAGCTGGCAAGTCATAGCCCTGTCTTGCAACCTCATTCTAACTCTAGGCACTTGCAGTTGGCTGGACATAAAGAGCAATTGTCCTCTTTTTTTTTTTTTTTTTCTGCACAGGGGCCATGCTAATCTTCACTGTATCATCCCAAATTTACTGTATGTGCTGCCGAAGCAAGCACAAGCAGTTATCCTTCTGATGGAAAACAGGAACTCTTTTAGTCCTTCCATGTTGTTGCCATCTTTCTTTCTGGGTGTTTGTTTAAAAGGGTACCTGTTTCCTCCTGGAGGAATCCCACATCGCAGGTTCCTGCCTAGCTTGCCATGAGCACCCAGAAGTCCCTGCCCCTCCATACCTGACCCTAGCTGTACTCTGTGTCACTGTTGTGAACTGTCAGTCCAGAACAATGTAACTGACCATTACTTTGCATCTTGTTTTTCAGTCCCTCTCCGCCTGAGACCCTCGTCACCAATGGCGTGCTGGTGGTAATTGTCCTTTCTGGTTCTGTAGCTACATGGGGCACCTCATATTATCAAGCACTGGGCCTGGGTTGTGTCCTTGTCCCATTCAGACCTAGCAGAGTCAGGCTAAAAGAGAACAACCCCATGGGACACAGGCAGGGGCATTGCTCAGCCCACCATGCCATAACCCACAGAAATGGGTTCCTACTCATGGGAACCTCCCCAGTAAAGGGGGATGCTGAGGGCAGCTTCTGTCCCTAATCTGTCTGCAAACACAAGGCCAATACCAATGTTTTCATAATCCAGCTGTAGACAAGCTATTTTGCTTAAATGTAACCATTGGGGTCCAAGGAGACTTCTCCCTCAGACAGCAGGGCTTCAAGGGTTTGTAGCTTGGGTTTCTGCCAGCCTGCTTTCTCCTTGTGACTGCTTTCTTGGCAGCTCTCACTTCCAGACTCCTCAGCAGAGCATTCCATCTGGTGGGTCCTGAGCCAGCAGCTGACACTGCAGCCACGGGAAGCTGTGGAGCAGCCCCATTCCTAGGCATCCTGCTTCCCAGCACCTTGTGGCAGGCCATGATGGGGTTCAGAAAGCACTCTCAGCATGTCCCCGGCATCAACCCCAGTTTGGCACCTGTGTCCCCTGTGAGGCCTGGAGGTGGGGGAGGACCTTTGCTCAGGTCTCTGACATCTCGGCTTTTGTTGCAGTCTCGACAAGTCTCCAGGCTGGAGGTCCATGCGGAGTCCAGGAAGCGGAAGAAGAGAGGGAAAAGTGAGCCTCGGTTTGGCTCTGCATGCTGTCAAGACAGGGCACAGCTTTCACATCCCATCAGCAACCTGGCCCAAGCTCACAGGGAATTGGGGCTCAGCCAAAGCTGTGAGCCCATCTCTTCTCCTCTGCCTGCTCCATCAAGGGCTGGCTTCCTCTTGACCTGCGAGCTCCCCAGGCCTGGCCACTGTCCTGAGCATGGGTTCTGCCCCTATTGGGACCTCTGGCAGCCTGCAGTGAGGGACCCTGAAAGCCCTGAGGGACCCTATGAAGGCTGTGCCCCTTGTTCTAGTCATACCCAGCACTGTTCGTAAGCTTTATACTAATGCATTTTCCTGGGCCAGCCACTGTGGGCCTTGTACCAAGTGCCCAAGTGACTCCTGACAGACCCCACCTGGGCCACTCCAGAGAGCTGTCAGCTAAGCCAGGTTGGGGGTGGGGAGCAAGCGGCTTCCCAGGGACCTGACACTCGTGTCCTGTCTCCCAGTGAAGGACCTCTTGGTGACAGTGAGTGAATCCTTCGAGAACACTCTTCGTGTCCCACCCTGCCGTGAACTCTGCCACCCAAACCCTGCCTGCTTCCACTACCCCAAGTACTTCCAGCCACAATTGCATGTGGAGGTGCCCAAGAGTCACTGGAGCTGTGGGGTACAAAGCAGCTGCCATGGGGCAGGGGGTAGGGGGAAAGGGGCTAAGCCCTGCTGCCGGTGGGACCTCCCCCTCACAGAACCCTCCATCCCCTCCAGCTTTGCTGCTGCTGCAGTGCGTACAAGAACGACCCTGTGTGCCAGCCCCTTGACTGCCTTTGTGATGACCAGGCGGTGACCATGCCTGTGGTGAGGACCTGCGCCTGGGAGGGCCCTGACCGTCTGGCCTGCAGCTCCTGAGGCAGGGAGATGGGGAGAGGCTTGGGAGAGGCTGGGAGTACAGAGGTCTCAGTGCAGAGGGGTCTTGCACAATAGGAACCAGAGGGGAGACTGAGGTGGAGATGAAGATGGGGGAAGGGATGTGGGGATGGAGCAAGAGTGGATGTGCATGTGTGTGTGTGCTGAGTCAAGCTGGCAGGGTGGCAGGGAGGGTGGTCACCACATCAGTGATTAGCGTCACTCGGCCCTGCCTCATCTTCCCTGACAAGTTTTTCATCTTGTACTCCCCAGGGTAGGAATTACGAATTACACATGAAGACCACACCCTGGTAAAGTACCCTCTTTCTGTCCTTCTCTGTGGAGTGTTCGTGCCAGCAGGTGGGAGGTGGCATCTCCCTGTGGCTTGGCCTTGTGTGTTCTTGATGGCTGAGACATTGATCACTCCACCCACCCCTACTGTAGCTTGCTGGCTATTTGTGTATTTCCTCTTTGGTGATGGATCTATTCAAAGCCTTCGCCTGCTTGCTAAGTTTTTAGAATTTTACCTTGAGAAATTCTAAGACTTACTTGTATATTCTAGGTACAAGTTCCCTGTCAGGTACCTGATTTGAAAATGTTTTCTCTTAGTCTGGGGCCTGTCTTTCCATGTTCTTGATGCCGTCCATTGAAATGGAAACGTTTCTCATTTTGATCAAAATCAGCCTTTTTTTTTTTTTTCAGTCACTTGTGCTTTTGGTGCCATAGCCAAGAAGCTGTTACCTAATCTAAAACCATGATGTTTTCTTCCAAGACTTTTATAGTTTGATCTCACCTTGCAGTATATGGTTGATTTTGAGTTATTTTTGGCTGTGGTGTGAAATCAGGGAGTCAGTACTACTTTTGTGCATTAGGTGGGGAGGAGATCTGGTTGTTCCAGCACCATTTGTTGAAAGGCTGTTCTTTCTCCCCTGAGTAACCTGGATACCCTTCTTGAAAAAGAGTCATTTACCATAATCTCTACTTACAGCCCAATTCACTGTTTGGTTCAGACAAATGGTTTAATCTTGCTAAGACTCAGTTTTCTTCATGTGTAAATTGGGAGCAGTAATGAGAATCCTTGCATTAGTGGGCTGCTTTGCCAGTCCAGCGAGACAGCACATGAGAAACACTCAGTCACCTGCCTGGCAGGCAGAACCCAGGCCAAAGACCAAGCAACACTGCTGTTACTGCCATCGTCTTGTTATGCTTGTCCATGGAGACCAAGGAAAGAGGTGTTTCCTCTAAGCTATGTCTGCAGTCTTGTGCTAGCCATGGAGATGAACCAGGAGGGCTCCACGCCCTGCCTTCACTGAGATGGGATGCTGCTAGTGAGCCATGGCTTGGATCAGGAATTGTCCAGATCCACTCACAAGTGATGGGGCAGACAGAGAAGCTTCTAAGGAAGGTAGGGGTCCATGTCATTGTACACACGTAGAACACATGCTGCTCTTGGGGGCCCCCACATTGGCTAGAGGTGAAGCTGGCTAGGGCAGGTAGGGTTCCAGGTTCAAGGACAGGGATGAGATCAAAAGAGGACAGCCTCTGAACATGTTGTGGTGGCTCCTGCCCCAGCTGCCAGCACCATGGGGTAAGGTGTGTGAGGTTTTTATCAGCTGCACAAACACACAGGGAGGTGATTATTCTGTGGGCGGGACATTCTCCGTGAGGGATGGGAGCACAGATGGGAGCACAAAGGAATGTGTGCTTATTTGTCCAGCTCAGGGGAATCCATACTCCAGGGCCATGTCCAGCCACTTTCAGAGCTCCTGTCACCCACAGCTGGCCATGGGCTAGAGAGGGCAGGGCCCCTGGGGGAAACCTTTCTGGGCCTCACAGCCACTTGCTGGTCTAGGAGGCAGGGAGTTTGAAGGGTCCCTGAGATGAGAGCCAACAGTGGTCTTTGGCCAAACCCCAGCTTACAGCATGCCCCCTGAGGCTCAGGAGCTAGACGTTTGTCATCTTTACTGTTGAAGACCAATGCTCAAGTTAAGTATCTTCAGCCCATGACATACATGAGAACAAAGAGGTCCAAGGTCACAGAAATGGTACGTGGCAGTACTTGGCCTCCAGCTTAGTAGGTTCCACTGATCCTAAAGCCGTATCTGCTCCTTAAAGCTGGAGGCAACAGGTCTACTAAGCCCGTCCCATCTTCCCACAGCCCCAAGACCTTAGATGTACGGCTTGGCTTCAGCCTGTGCCCAGCGGAGCTGGAGTTTGTGCAGAAACGAAAGGTGGTAGTGGCCGAGGCGCTGAAGCAGGTGCTGCAGCTGGAGGAGGACCTGCAGGCGGATGAGGTGAGTGAGACTGGGCTCGGGGCCATCCTGGGCTGAGCTGCTCTGCCATCTCCATGCCTTGCTAGCCTACCCCTCCCCTAGGCTTGCTCTGTTCCAGGGCAGCCTGACCCCAGCTCTGCTCCATGGTTGATCCTATGCCAAAGCTCTGGGTGCAGGGATGTGGCCCCATGCAGAATATGACTCTGGTGGCCCCCAGAGGAGGGAGGACAGGCAGGAGAGGAAGGGGCTTCTGCTGCTTGTGTGAGCTCTAACGGGCTGGGCTGCATGCCCTGTTTGCATCGGTGTCAAGTGGCCTGCTCACCTCAGCCAGGAAGCACTTTGAGCTCTGTAAACTAGTACCTGACACACCTCCAAGAAGGCCATCTGTGAGTCTCTAACCTCCAACAGGAGCACGCAGACACATCCCCAGAGATCACAGTGGCAGCATGCACGGGAGAAGGAGCTTTAGCTCCCAGACCCATCACTTCCTCCCAGGAAGCAGGCATTGGGGCCTTTGTCACAGGCCCTTGACCATCCTCAGATGGGGACCAAGACCCTCCACTGTCCTGGACAGCAGGTCAGCCCTCCAAGTACACACCTTCCAGCCTGGCCACAGTGGGCAGGGGGCTCGTGCCTACCTGGAGAGACCTCATGATTGGGCTTTAGCTGATGTAAGGCTCTTCCAGTGCTCACTCATAGGAAAGCAGAGCACCTTCTCTGTCACCAGTGGTGAGCTCACCCAGGACATCTTAAACCTTTCACACCCAGAGGTGGCTACTATCCCCTCCCTACCAC